TCATCCCCGCTCCGAGGTTCGACAGTGTGCTCAGATGTCGGCTGCACCGGAGTCTCCACTTGTTCAGTCCCTTGCTGTGCCCAAGGGCGGCCCCAGAATTTCGTCAAGGCGGGGGGCACGCAACCTTGTGGGCACCCCCTCCCCCTAGAGCTTGGGGCCCCTCCATTTTAGGATTTTAATAATGTTATCTTTTACACAAGAACTCATCTTAATGTGCACAGCCCTGGAAAACCAGCCGTGCTGCGTATTCAAATGCGTGGAGCTTGTTCATTTTCTACAGACCATGGTTATTCCTGCTATTTTGAGGCCAAGTTTTTCGGAAAGTCATGGCAAAATAAACTAAAGTTGGCTGCTAAATAAATACCATCAAAATCCAGTGCGAACTTGATTCCTAGATCATTTATGGGTAGCCGGCAGGTCGATGTGACTGGCTAATGGGTGATGAGTAATGCATAGTTTTTTCTTTGGGTGTTGTAAAGGAGCACAAAATATCCTAGCAGTCAAAATATATTCAGAACGCAATGCACAAGCATTTTGGGTGCTATAAACTCAATGACAACGGAAATAACACAATATGACGTCAGTGACACGTAAAATGATGTTCTACAGTTACACATGAAAATTAATCGGCGCATATCTAACAGCTGCTCGAAAGCTAAGACCCCAAGGAAAACATGGTGGACCTCTGAACGATAGGGAGTGCTGCGGCAGGATGACATAGGGAGACCCGGCAAAAGAACTTGGCCCTCCGAGCAAAGGAAAATTACCCTTGACCAGTGTGCCTGAATTAATGCCCCTGTGTGAACAAGAGTTCACGGACAGATTTATAGGAAGGGCCCTGATAGGAGTGAAGGGTACCTCGTAAATGGTTCCAAAGGGAAAGAGCCCTAGACATCGCCAAAAGATTAAACGTCGCCATCCAGCGCTGCTGAACACCGACGCCTCATGGGGCCGCGTGCGCTCAGCCCGGCAGAGGCGGGTCATTAGGTCAACCTGACGGGTCAGGGTGAAGGCTGGCCATTTAAGACATGTTTCAAATCATTTCTGGTAGCATAAAAGCTTGCTTCAGTTAAGTTTCCGTTAGTTTTCAGGGAAACGGAGGGCTCAGTACAGACGGCTGCAGGGAAAAGAGGATGGCTCAAGTAACTTTATGTAGCGTCGACCAAAAATGGTTTGATAATGAACCTTGAATCTGGCTCCGGGATTGGATGGCGCTGACGGGGGACTGCTCTACGGTATTGCGCGTCAGCATCGCAGCTCTGCTAGCTCATGCTGGTTCTGCTGGTTCCGCTGGCTCTGTCTGCATAGATATACATCACAGTCATTGTGGTGCCTATGGTTCCTCGTGTTATGGCAGGATTTGCATCCTATGCTTGTCTTTGCATACACCATCCATTGGTTCCAGACGTAAGGCATGCGTCATATATTCGTACCAGCCGTTCCGAATGCCCTTCAGCGCCAATAAAATGATCACACACGATTTTGGGTCCTCGGGATCTCGTCATTTACCTTTCTCTGAGCATACAAGTTAAGCGACACGTTCAAAGGTGACTTGTGACAAGTCTTCAGCCGACACCGGCGGGTCACACGCCCTCCTTTCCACCGCTCTGAGCTACAGTGACGATGATCCACTCCAGTCTCACTTTTGACAAGCCTTCAGCCGGAACCGGCGGGTCACCCGCCCTCCTTTCCACCGCTCTGAGCTACAGTGACGATGATCCACTCCAGTCTCACTTTACCAGTGTCGGCCTCCGTCTTCCGTCCGTTTAATTAGTTTAGGTTGGCCACAATCACCGGAATTTGTACGAAAACTTGCTATGTAGGCTGTATTCTGATTGGATTCATGGGCATGACGACAGATGGTAAGGTACTGTCAAAACTGGTACTAACAGCAATAATGTATCAGCACATTGACATTAAAACAAGGTACCAACGAAAATTGATGAGCAACACAGTGCAGTAATGCCTATCACACAGCTGAAATATCGGGGTCTCGTGGCACGAGCCAAGAGCAGATTAGGAGAAAGACGCGCTGTTCTTCAGTGTGTCAGGCTGATCCAGTTTTTCTGATGAAGGACGCACCCATCACCTCACCAATAGTGGCCGTAGTATCCGGGCCTCCTGAAGAAACGAGGCCTCCAGTAGCGGCGCCTGCAACATATCGGTCAGAATAGTCTACTGAGCACACGTACATTCACACAAACAACAAACATACAAACATACATATTGCCTTGAACGCTATGCACCCCAGATAAGAAAGTTTTGCAACCAAACATGTGGTATTGGAGACCATATCTGGCTCGTCCTACAATATTGTTGATGGTTGTTACTGGACAGGAGATGGATTAGTCAAGTAAATGAGGCATAGCTTTATCCTGCAAGCGGCTGGATAAAGACGGATCACTTATTTCGTCATCCTGGACCAGTTGCCTGAGTTACGCATGACTTCGGTCGTTCCGCGTGGGATGAGAAGGATGCTGCCGTATGGATGTCAGTCCGCAAGAGAGAGTAGGTCAAGATGGAACAGATGGCTGATCGCTCCGATAATCAGTTATGCTTGATCGACTGGCAAAGTAGTGGAAACATACGCGTGCGTGTATTTTCATTTGAGCGCACTGCAGTCCTTACATTCATGATATTTACCGAAACCAAAACCTGCAAATTCGAAGTCCAAGCGTTTCGTCTTCCAGCATGAGGCTACTAACTGGTCCCGACACCTGACACGGCGCGTGTCACTGCATGATATGCCTGTGTGTACCTGTGGTAGCGCGGACGCCAGTAGTGTCCGTAGAAGCGCGACTCATCGCTGGCCAGGTCAGCGCCCTGCAGATCTTCGGAGGCGGAAGCAACCCCATCGGTATCGCCCTCAGCAGACACAGGCTCCTGGGCCCAACTCATAGCCAGACCAGCGACCAGCAGCGTAAACAGCAGCGTCTGTAACATGAGGATCTGATATTCAATGCGTTTGGTTGAAGGCTTACTGGGCTTCGTTGGGGTGTGGGAGAATGACACACTTATTTTGCGGGGGAGATAAAGTTGAGATACGCTCTGAAAGCCAAGGTGCAATTTGAAACGCGTCAAAAGTACAAACGAAAAATACTTGAAGTCAGGTTGAAAAGTTTTAAATTGTAAAATATAAACTGAGTTTACCTTTGCAGATCAGTTAGTCCCGAATCAGTGTGGACAGTTACTGCACAATTTGCACCTTCTGACTTACCAGCCTCATTCCGATCACACTGAAAGTGTCTTTTGGTCAGATGAAGGCCGCTTTCTGATGGAGGGAGACGCGGCAGGACTGGTTATATACTTGACCAAGACGGCCGGCAGTATATCCCCGCCCATTCCCGGCTCGTTGGACCGGAGCCCTGAGGCACTCTTCTACGTCATAAACGGACACGTGGAGCCGCGAGTTTGGGCCATGGAACGCCTGTAATTCGCATCCTCGGTATGGCCGAGGCACAGCTCTGGACCGAGAAGGGTAGTTCCTCACGCTCTCAGGCCACCACAGCAAAAACTTGTGGCCCAAAAAACTGCTAAAAACCTGAGGGGAATGTCCGCGGCTAGCTCGAGCGTGCGGAACCATTTGCAAGTCGGCACGGAACGTAATTTAAAATTAAAAGCACGCAGATCCGCGCTTGGTCTGTTAACACGTGCAGATGAGACCCCATACGCTAAACACGACGGGATCTCTCCGATACATTTGAACTACCGAGGCTGGTCCAAGAGGATCGCTCTTTGCCTACGACTATGTTGTAGAAAGGATGCCGGACTTAGTCACTGTCGTTGGGCATAGCATTAACTGCATTACATTTCCGTGGTGGAAAATGACGGTTTTTGTGGTTTAAAATGGTAATTAGGCATTTCTACCGTATTAAGGCTACCCCATGTGAGACAAACGACCTTGCAGACTTAATGCGGTAGTCACATTTTATATAATTTTGCCTGAGTTAAAAGTGCTAGAGTAGTTAACGTGCCATCAACTTCCATATTAAATGTCTCGTCACTTAGTATCAGAAGTTACTGCCACTCACGCTCTTCAAAGTTGAGCCACACAGCTGTAGATCAGGCGGATCTGTACATATGGTTGGTCACCGGTCCTTCCGGGATCCATAGGTCGTTTTCTACACATTTCTGACACGTTTATTTACCGTTAAGCTACTGCTACCATTAAGCCCAAACGTAGCGGAAGCGTGTCAGTTCGCCTGTTTTAACGCGCACACGTTAGCGTCGTCTTATCATCGCGGATATCCCAGAGCTCCAACATGCTCTCAACTAGAGGATCGGCGCCAACGTCATCAATGGGTCATCTCGATGACCCCCTTCCCGTTCGCGGGGTTACTGGCCCCTGCAGTCAGCACACGTGACTCGGCACGACAGCAGAGAGCGTCAAACTCAGACAACAAGCCTTCCGATTCAGAGTGACCGTTACTCGACCTGGCAGGTAGCATTTCCTTCAGATCACGATTCAGATGTGTCTGAGAGATCGCAACTTGATCTGTTTCACCCAGGCATTGCCGAGGAGCTGCACCGAGAGACCAGCAGCCGGTAGTGTTCCTGCACGTTGCCTTCAAGCTGCGGTCGCTCGGGGGAACCGGTTCCGCGCGCATGTCAGCGATCTTTCGCGAACGCCCCCTGCCCGCGAGCAGCGGCGCTGAAAGGGTTGGGTATTTAAATATGCTTATAAGATGGAGTTGGCTACAAACACCCAACATTCATGACTACGATGCTTGTCGATACATCCAGTATTTTCAGGTATGCCTCCCAGCAATTTTTCTTCCACTGGTAGGCATCTATTTACGATGTATTGCCCGGAAATAGTGTTAGCCCCGCACACGCCCTTGGCAACAAACGCCTTGAACTGCAGACTCATGGTGACGGCGGACCTGCGACTTGCAGTTGCCCGCCGGGCAGACATTATTCCTGGCCAGATGTCATCGGCGTAGCGGGGATGGTTGGAGCTGGGATATAAAGCCCGGTCGTCGGCTGCGGCACCCATTCAGAGACAGGGGACCAGTCGTGACCTGCCGGCTGTTGCACCCCTGCGCCATGAAGCTGGTGAGTCTTCTCCATGAGAACACGCAGAATACTCGGCAGGCGGTTTGATTGAAGAGGAACGCTATTTGGGTTGCATTTAGCTGATGTGGCGGTGATATTTACAAAGCTAGTATTGTAGGCCTTATTCTGCCCACGTTAAGGACCTCAACGCCTGATGCATGCACATCCTCAGTCTTCGAGTAGGCTGCCATGTGCCTGGTGGCGGAGCATAATCAGAACCGGGCCATCATTCGCCATGTGAAGGATTTGTCTAGAGCCTGTCTGTGTCTGACCGGCGTGGGCCACATTCCAGACGCTGCTGCTCGCGCTGGTCGCTGCCGGCCTGGTGCTGGCCTTTGCCCAGGATGCTGTTCCTGATTCCTCTGAGGAGGTCCCCGATGTGTCCGTACCCGTCGCCGAGGACCAGGACGGCGCTGACCTGGACGGAGCCGAGACCTTCTTCTTTTGAAGCACCTGTTCCGGCCCTCGGTACTATTCTTACCACAGGTAAGCACCTGCGTCCATTTTAGCACACTGAGTTAGTTTTGTGCAACATTCTGCTGTCTAGATGTTCCTGATCATGTTTTGAGAACGTGGTTACCCTGAAACACCTGGTCATCGGTTGCATCGTCGAGTGGTAGCACAGCCCCTGGTTCTCTATTAATCCAAACATGACTATGTAAACAAAGTGCATCTCTTTATATCAGGTAAGTGGCGCCGTTCATACAATACACGCAAGACATGTTATGTTGGTCGTAGCACTGACATTCGTTTCGGGATCTCGTGCAGGTCACTGGCCTGGCAGTGGCCTTCGCGACCAGCTTCCGCGTCTATCGGCGTCATCTGCAGTGGCTAACAGTGCGACCCCGCTCCACAGGCCTCGCTACTTCTACAGGTCGTACCGGCCTCACTACGGCTACTACGGATAGTCGTGATCAGTGGGCGAGGCGATCTGGCATCATGTGACACCTGACGCGATCACCAACTATCCACTGCCGTGCTGGAAACGGCCTGACGTTGTGGTAGCTTTCATCATTCGCGCTTTTTCGTGCGTGCTTCTGGCGTTAATTGCTTGGAGTCTTCAGTGCTGCGAATACATGCGTTTAATAGCAAGGAGTGTGTTCGTATGGAGACCTGAGAAGATCCTCTGTAATGATTCTTTATTTAAACCCTTTTACAATCACGACTGGCATTTGCGACGCTGATTCATATCAGTCATTCGGAGGGGCTTGACTTGTTTTTCTTTTCATATCAACGGGGGTGTCTCACCTTTGGGGCACATTTCAAATGCATACTCTTGTGAGACGCCAGGACCTGTAACGTCTACTAAATGCGCTGGGTAGTATCACTCCAGCACCGTCAAAATAATGATATCAATTTCAATTATATTGCAGTCCAAGTTACGCTTCCTAAGCTTTGTAACAGCACTAGGTTCTGCCGCCGCGATCGCCGCCGTCGTCATGGTTACTGGATCTACGGCGTCGTGGCAGCCGCACCGTCATAAATCAAGCCAAGCTTGACATTTCCAGTCAAGACCGGTTGACAAAGCACGCTTTACCACCTCAACGCGTAATTCGTCACTGTTTTCGCAATTTGTCGTTTGCCTCCATGCGTAAGCCCCTGTATGTCACTTGTTCCGTGCGGATCAGATTTCACGCCATTTTGTGCTTTTGGGTACAGATTCCCACCATATGTTCCGCGAAATATTGCTTCTGCATGTTATACAGCTGGTGTGTCTTTGGCACAAGGTATGTGCGTACTGGCTTATGGTGTCTCTGCCCTCTCCCCACACAGCCCCTAAACACATGCCTGCTTGAAGTCAATAGGCACACACCAGTGGCTCTTCTCTCGCGACGCATCCCGCTAATGCCGACAATATCGTCATACCCTGACATTTGCCGCGGCGTTCCTACATACGGCCCCCCGCTAGACGCCGAACGCCTGCTCTGCCGCCCTACCCCCCCCCCCCCCCCCCCGTTTCCAGAGCACTTGCACTTAGCACCGCACACTGAACTCTCTGCTGTCTCTGCCCTGGGCACAAGGTGTTCCTATCTCCAGTGTCAGTCTTCACAAAACGATGAAGCGATTTGTGCGTATTCAAGACTATTGCTATCACATCCATATTATGTCAAATTGTATGAGCATTACAGTTTCCTCGGTATTATGCCTGCAGTCTGGCTTACGCGGTCGCGGCGATCGGTTGCTTTGGCCGATCATTCCACGATTCATTGGCCGCGAATGATCATCAGCTGATCATTCGCGCTATCTTCTTTCGTGTCAACCTACCTGTTCTCAAGCGCGTGACTGAAGATGTTCTAATTGGTCGGGCGGGGAAGTCAAGCAAAGAGCAAGCAAATATGGAAGGAAGGAAGCGTTGTTGCCTGACATGGTTGCAACTATCGGCATAATAAGGACTGCCTTTCCACGTAACATCATTGTCGATAGCAATGCAATGATAATATAGCGTGTAAGACACAGAGAAACTAGGCTCTTCCGTATGCTTTGTCGTCATAAACGCACAACATTACACGTGCAAAAGGCGTACCACCACCAAGCACATATTTCTGAACATTGCATCATATGAATTCACACATTTCCGCTCAAATTTATGGGTGGTAGGTGTCACTCGTTATAAAACTTGGTGCATAACTCAGCTGGACATAACGTAGGCCAGACTTTTTTGAAAAGAAACAAACAAACGCTCAAAAGTCTGCCGCGTTCACCGATGCATGCATCGGAGAAAACCTGCCGCCGACGCTCACGAGAATACATTATGTACCTGAGCATATGTGTGACAGTGTATTCGGGACATCATTTGTGAAAGGTTAATTCCTTCGTATCTTCGCATAGCCTGTCATGGGGTCAGTCAACGGAGACGCGCCTACTGGACGTAATTGTGTATAACAAATCCGATTGACTTGAGCTACGATGGCCTTTTACGCTAGGTCGGTACTAGACCACTTCTTGATGCTAAGTCTGATGCAAGGCATAGTCACATGCTCATTGAGTAGCGAAATTTATTTGCATACATATATACTTGACACGTCTGTTTAGAGAGTGGATCTGAATGTTCCAATCAGTTAGGCTGGTTTGATAAGCACCAAGGTGATGTGAGAATGTTTTCTACCATTTTCCTCTGGTTTCATTGTTCTGTTTTTGCCAAAAAATATTCAGTTTGGTTTAGTGGGAAAGACCAATAGCTCGATGCATTTTGTTCCTCCCTCCCCGCCCGTCCTCCAGGAAAAAGCACCGTAATATAGGCCCTCAGAAATGAGTCACACGGATAAGAACAAAGCAATAACAATGTGCCAATGTCAAATGCATGACTCTTTAGTAGCACGTGCCTTAACTTTGTTCGGCCACCTTATGATCGTTTCGGGTTGCTGTAGTGAGATGGCCAATCGTCGCTCACAGGCAATACTGGTGAAAATAATTTCCGTCTGCCAAAGGCTGTGACAGCACTTAACGCCATTTTGCCGGAACACTGAAAGTCGAGAAGAAAAGAACGACAGTTGGGATTAGCCTCGCTGCTACGCATGCGCGAGCGGTGCGAGTCTGTAGACCAGGGGTCATTGGTATTGTTGCTTTGATTATCTTCGGTTTATCATCTAGGATATGTGTATTCCTATGACTTGCGATCTGCGTTCATATGCTCTTGTCCATTACGAGTGTGTAGACCCGGGGGCGCAGCCAGAGTATACGACGGAGGCGGGACAACCATAATTTGCGGAGTGAGGTAATTTTTTCGAGCGAGTCCCGGCTCCATCAATAGTGACCACGCACTACGAACAACAGACTCCACAATCGCTTATAAGTACAGCACCTAGCGTATTAATCAGCTATCGATGTTGTTTTTCCCTGTGCCTTAGAAATTTGTATCAGCCGCTTACCGTATATAATCGCTTGGCTATTCGCTTGTCTTGTTACTATGTACGTCGGTGCATGCGTTGGCAGCGATCGCGGCCGCTGCCTCCCACAAGCGCGTCTGCCGCAAGAGCTTACGGCATGGTGTGGTGATACCGGCGCTCAAAATACACTAGACGGTGTGAAAGCTGTCCATGATTATTTTTCCGTGCGAGAGAGCTCTTGATGTAGATAAAAGGAGATGTCTCTGAAGTGCTGTAGTGATGCCTATATCAAAGGCACAAAATAACACGTATCTCTCACATCCTTTGCTGTTGTTTTCGTGCAATGTGTGCGTGAAGGGATATAGCGATTTATGCTCTTTGACAGATAGGTAGTTTTGGCGACTGGCTGAGCACTTCCTATAACGACGTGCTGTTCCGGGAGGGCTGCCGCTCTCAACTTTCATTTGCGTGGCAACACAAATTCGGGTCATAGGGTGGAAAAGAAGGGTTGGATAAATACCCCAAGAACATTCCAAACAGAAGTGGGTGCAATTAAGCTATGGAGTGTGTGACCCCAGGGCCTGCGCGTGATGCGCGTAGCATTTTCCTGCTGCGTTGATCCTCCTCTGTGTCGTCATTAAGCAAAGCATGCTGTCAGCCCCCGTCGCACGCTTAAACTGCATTCAGCTGTGGCTGAGCTGGCGGGCAAGGCTGTGAGAAGACCAGCAAGTTTGACGACTTCAGGGATGCGTTCCCACGCGTTGTACCTCACGTTGCGAAGAACGGACTGGCTGGATTGATTTGTCGCATTTGAAAATGGTAAGAGCCTTCTGCTTCCTTGCCACCCGGCAGCACTGCATCTGAGCGCTTCCGTAGGATCAGTACGCAGCTTCTATTGACCAGAAATAAGAATGTCAAGAGCTTGAAAAGAGGGAAGAAATGAATGAGAGGGGATTCTTCAGCTGCATGGGTGAAAAGCAGCAGCTGCGTGTTAAAGCATAATGGAGTTAATCAGAAATACATTTGACGTCCACACCGATAGCTCAGCTGGTTAGATCGCCTACCCTCCGATCCACCCACCTGTGGCAGGGTGGGTTCGAGTCGCTATAGGTACTCATTACCTTGACATGCACGGCCTGCGGACCTTGCCAGTGGCCCCGCTAAAGGTCAGTTGACGTCAGGTGGCAGGACGGAGTGTTGCTTGTCTTGCGGCACGGTAATATTGCGCCACCAAGCTCTGCCGTTGACCTGAAATGGCACGATCCGTGGTTGGCGATCCTCACATAACAAGCACCACTAATGAGAGTGAGCTACGATCCCAGAAATCCATCTTTTCAGAAATGGGCACATTAAATCTTTTAAAAGTATGCTTTTCATGGGAAACATGGGTTAAAATGTGCTGGACTCGTGGAGGGGGATTTGTAACCCTTATAAGTTTTCCAGCGCATCCCGAAAATGGAACCACGCAATGACCGCAAAATTTTGGACACCATTTTCTCAGGCACGTAGTCTAAATCCTGCCTGATGGGGTCAAATGCCTAAAAGGGAAGGACACTAAGGTCACAACCAAGAAGCAATGCTGCTGTCAGATTGACACAAGTGGTTTTATATAGAGTCATATCTACCCTGCAAATTTAGTGTCACTAGTCATCTAGGTTGTTGATGCCAGGGAGTTCAAACTGACATTGGTCAGTGATTTTCCATTCGCTATGCTGTTATTCGCATAATTTATCTTTCGGTACGCTGATTTTGGGCTTTCAACAAGTTGTTCGTCTCCAAAATAGCATGCCGTCAATACGCATTTCACCTTTCAGCCGTTTGTCTTTTGGACAAGAAGAAAAAGGCATTGCAACAAAATAGATACTCGGGTGTTTCACATTTTGTGGAATAGCACTATCCTCCTAAAATCATTCGGCAATTTGTGTTAGAACCAGGGCTAGGCCGGCTCGTTGGAGGGAGAAGTAAAGGGGGGGGGGGGGGGCGATATCACGTCGAGCGGGGTTTACAAGAAGTCCCCAATTTTGTCATGATGGTTTTCGATGTGAAATTGAACAAAGACTGTGCAAATTGAGGGGCCTATTGAATCGAACGTGATATAGAATATTGAAAATGAGCTTGTCGTGGTAGGCAAAATGAATCTAATGTTGGTGGTAATAGTTTAGAACATCTAGATTTCACTACTCAGGGCGGCCGTTTGGTTACATGATACGGAATTCCGATGGAAAATGGTGCTATTTTTTCCGGGCTTTCATTGTTAACGATTTTCAAAATTTGATCCACACCCTTTGGAAGGATGAATTTCTGGGATCAGCGCTCACGCTAAGCAGTGGTTGTTGTGTGAGCCCTGTCCCCCACCATCCGATCGCGCAATTCCAGGCAACGGCAGAATTTAGTGGCGAAAGTTTAACATGCCGCAATGGTCGGCACGGTCCGACCTGCCCTCTGACGTCACCTGATCTTTAGCGCGACCACTGCCACCGGCCGCAGGCCATACCTGTCAAGTGCAAATAGCGAGCGCCCTACAGCGACTCGAACCCACCTTGCCATGGGTGGATGGACCGGAATGCAAGCTCTCTAACCAACTGAGCCACCGGGACGGACTTCGGCGTATTTCTGTTATTGACGTCATCACTGACAGAAAATGGCTTGGCACAGAAGGTCGATAATGCAGTTCGCTCATCGCGAAGGTGAACGGGATAACGTTATACACTAAGTTGTGTCCAGATCAGAAATGTTTGGCATATGAAATTGTGCCTTTATTGGGAAAAGCGGAATAAGGACGAAGAGAATGGCAAAAAAACTTATTGAGGCTTTAGTCTCTCCCCACTTGACTGTGTGGGGAAGCTGCAGCAATGCTCAGCGGCATCAAAAGGTGACCAGCCACTGTGTGTGTATCGTGAAAGGTAAACATTGCTATGACCAGGTTTCACCCATCCTACCTGAGTTTAAGTAGCAAATAAATTGTTGAGCTTTTAATTGAACGTGTCCTGGCGGCAATGCATAGAATGCGCACGTCTCGCTCACCAATATCTTTGAAAGTGCGTGTGCTGTCGCGTCATGCAGTGCCAGCCCGTGTTACGTGTGGAACTACCGATGGCCTTCTGGAGCTGCCGAGGATGTGCACGGAGACAGCCGGCCCAGGCTCTGCTTTCCAGGCTGCGTCCGTGTGGAACAGGTTTCCTACAGCGGTACAGGAATCGGCAGCGGCGTCTTCGATGCATAACTCGAATACTGACTTGACATGGGCTTTGCCAACTGGTAGGATTGTCTGCCAGGCAAGGTCAGTCAAGTCATACCAGGTCTCATTTGATGAGCGTTAGAGGTCGGTGGTCGTTGTGGTGAACAGACATCCAAACCAAGGACTCCAATAAGAGGTAAAAGATATATGCTCCTAAGAAATAATTTCCTTCCCAGCGGGATAATTTTCACAAACAACTGGAAGGTATGTCAAGCTTGCGTGGAACAAAGCTCGCCTCTTTTATAGTGTTACCTCAAATGGCGTCAACAACATTTCTCGACTCCTTATTTGACGCGCCCTTGCTATGTTTTACCCCGGAATGATGCCTATCAGGATCGTTATTATGCAAAACTGCAAATAAGTACTCTCCTTGTTATTTCAGACATCGACCCTCGAAATACAATAAACTTTCATTGAGCTAACCCGAACAACACCTGACCTGGAGGTCTGCGACGCTGCGTGTGTGATGCAGGCCAGTGCCTCCTGTAGCCTTGGACGGGGTGTCCTGTGTATACCTGTGTTTCCCCTGCCGCTGTATGTCCTTCAGCCAAGCGCCGACCTGCGTCTTGTCGGTTCTGAATCACGGGTCGAGCCACGTTTGCAGATGGATATCTCTGGCGAATATCTCCCGCCCCCCCCCCCCCCCCCCCAACCGTCAAGGTCCTGTCGCTGAAGAAGCCTGGGATCGCGCGGACTTCCCCTCTCGGCCCCGGCCTGCGCCTCAGACAAAAGGCGTTCTACCTCGCCTCCCCCCCCCCCCCCTCCAAACGTCAAGGTCCTGCCGCTGAAGAAGCCTGGGATCGCGCGGACTTCCCTTCTCGGTCCCGGCCTGCGCCTCAGACAAGAGGCGTTCTACCGCATACAAATTGATGGCCGTCCGCGGCTCGAACCGGCGGGCCGACGTTTTTCATTGTGACGTAATAGAGCACCCTCGGGCTTTGGTCCGGCGGGCCGGGGTTGGGCGGGGATATACCGCTCGTGAATAAAGGCAGTCTTGTTCGATTATATAACCCGACCCGTGGGTTCTCCATTCTCCAGAGAGCAGACTAGATCTGACCAGAGGACACCCTCAGTGCGACTGGGATGAGACTGGTAAGTTGGAAGTGCATATTGCGCAATGAACAATCACGTAATGCCACGTGTGTGACTGTGTGACCTGCCCTGGCAAGCCCAGGTCGTGTGTTGTCTGTTGCGGGCTCACTTTATTTAGTCTGATGCTGTCTCTGAGGCCCTAATGGTAGGTTTCCAGCTTCCAGGCTACATAACAACATTCAAATTTTCCACCATATCATCTCCCGAGTTGTATTCCCTTGCGCACCCACGCAACACAGTCCGAGGTATGCATTCGACATCGCATCATGGTGTTACAGACGCTGCTGTTTGCGCTGCTGGTCGCTGGCCTGGCGGTAAGCTGGGCCCAGGAGCCTGTGTCTGTTGAAGATGATGCTGATGTGGCTGTTTCTGCCGCCGAAGATCTTCAGGGCGCTGACCTGGCCAGTGATGAGTCGCGCTTCTACGGACACTACTGGCGTCCGCGCTACCACAGGTACCCACAGGCATATCATGCAGTGACACGCCCCGTGTCAGGTGTCGGGACCAGTGGTCAGCTTTCGAGGAGAACGCGGCACGCTTGATCTTCTAAAGAGACGACTTTAGTATTGAGAAATATACCGAAGGCAAGAATTGGTGAATTCAGATGTGATTAACGAACCGCACACATGTTCGTAGAAGATATTTTTATCAACTACATGCTCATAACTGATCATCAGAGCCACCAATCTACTGTTACCAAAGCGAGCTATCGTACTTCCTGGGGCACACGTGGTGATCAACATCTGTCATAGATTAAGCAATTATGTCAAAGGTGACACAATTTCAGAGTTTCGCTCTTCTCACCATGCTTGCACTTGGGCACCATGATACAATTTACTGGTGAATAAACCAGGTAACAACCGTTACAATTACAGGCGGAGTTTAAGAGACTTGGGTTTGGTCTAGGATTCGATGTGTTCAGTTACATAATGTTCTCAGCCAAGATGCAAATCGGCACGGTTTCAGAACGCGCCATTCCACGGAAACCGCACGGGCTTGTATATCCAACCACTTCTAACTGCCAACGACCGCGGAGACATGCCATCGTTCTGTTTGCTTGGTTTAAGCAAATCATTCGTCCTGAAAGGCCACGCCAAAATACCGCCAAAGCTACGACTGCATAATACCGATGCGTCTTGGTTTTCAGCTTACTTCAAAAACCACACTCAAGTGAGTGTGAGAATATCTGACCGTTTTGGGAAAAGCAAACTCTCTTCTAAACTGCTTAACCGCATGGAAGTTTTTTCAGAAATGCGCGCTAGGCCCCCTATTCCACTACACACTCACGAATGGCCTTCGCAGAGGGTGCAGTCGTTTTGCAGTGTACGGACGGCACCCGAATTCTAGTGAGTGACATAAAACGCCAGTCGATACGCAGATGGAGCACGTCCTGGTCTCTCCCGGTGTATAGTTTTGCGCGAACAGTCTCAAAGTAAATGCTGAGAAGACACAGTTAATGTTGCTTGGAAGCCACAAAATATACGCAAGTCCCCTTCCCACGAAATTTCCACTGTAAATTCTTGTGAGCATGAGTTATCCCCTTTTTCGGAGGCGAAAAAATCTAGCACTAGTGTCTCAACTGGAATCCTTACGATTCTGTTTTCTGGCCGCTGCTTTGGAACCCTCTCTGATCTATCACATCTTAGGAACTACTTGCCCCCTAGTGGGGTCTCCACGCTGATGAGCGATTTGGTCCTCTCGCAAATGCGATACTGTTGTTTGATTGGTGAGAATGACACTCAAAAATATATCTAGGCTCCAAAAAGGTCATCAAATCTGCAAGCAAAAGTTATAATTGGGCGCATAAAGTTTGATCACGTTTCGGATCTGCTGGAGAAAATCGGCTGGCTCTCTGCGGACCGCCTTGTCAAATATCACATGCTAACGCTTCTTCACAAGGTGCTACGTTCTGGTGAGCTGGAAGCATGAGAACTTACGCTGGCCCGTGAATTCTGGGAGGTATCTCAGACCCGGGGTCAACATTTCTTCCTCCCTAGGCCACCCACTGAGATGGGAAGGAGGCGCTTGTGTTGCCGAGCTGCCACCCGGTAAAGCCCCCTTCCCCGTGACCTGATACGGCTCCCTGATGCGGGGTTGCCCGTGCACCGAAGCGCCACCTACTACACCGACGCCCACCCTGACCACGGAATGGTCCGAGCCGTGCGTGCACGCGCAAACGCCTGTGTCTGTCTGCATGCTTGTGAGCTGTGTGTGTGTGTGTGTGTGTGTGTGTGTGTGTGTGTGTGTGTGTGTGTGTGTGTGTGTGTGTGTGTGTGTGTGTGTGTGTGTGTGTGTGTGTGTGTGTGTGTGTGTGTGTGTGTGTGTGTGTGTGTGTGTGTGTGTGTGTGTGTGTGTGTGTTTGTGGCCAGTGACGCCTTGTTTTATTGCTGTGACAATAGGCTTGAATAGCCACGAGCCCATTGTGGACAGTCCAAATACACATGTACGGCCATGCCTGTGTGTGTGTTTTGCACGCTGTCTGACCCATGCGTCGTTGCAGGCGCCGCTACTGGAGGCCTCGTTTCCACTACTGGTGAGGCGGTTGGTGCGATCTTCCCCGCCGAAGCGGGCCGGGACGGTTCCGTCCAACCGCCGGACAGCGCGTCTCATCCAGGACCCAAGCGTGGCGCGTGATGTTGGCGTTCCGCTGAGAGACGCTGCTCTCTCATCGGTATGTTCGGTGTAACTCCGATTCAGTGTTCATTGCATTGGTACCTTCTTCGTCAGTTTTACGCGCTGGGCATTATTGTTGGTCGTACTGGTACCGTGATATGATCGCGGTACCAGGATGTGTGATCTCCGCCATAGTCATCGCTCCAACCAGAATACAACTTACATGACCGCCACAACTTTTCATAAAATTTCCAGTAGTCGAAAACGGCCTGACCTGACTGGCCTTGTCAGCGGAGATCAGAGCCCCGGCGCTGGCCAAGCGTGGTCGGATTGGAGCACCGTCACTGTGGCTCGGAACGGCGGGGAGGAGAGCGGGTGCCCCGTCACGGTTGGCTGCCGGCTTGTCACAGGAGCCTGGCGCGTGTGCGTGGCGCAGCGAGAGAGAGAGAGAGAGAGGGGAGAGAGAGAGAGAGAGAGAGAGAGGGAGAGAGAGAGAGAGAGGAGAGAGAGAGAGAGAGAGAGAGAGAGAGAGAGAGAGAGAGAGAGAGAGAGAGAGAGAGAGAGAGAGCGGGAGAGAGAGAGAGGGAGAGAGAGAGAGCGGGAGAGAGAGAGAGGGAGAGAGAGAGGGAGAGAGAGAGAGAGAGAGAGAGAGAGAGTAGAGAGAGAGAGAGAGAGAGAGAGAGAGAGAGAGAGAGAGAGAGAGAGCGGGAGAGGAGAGAGGAGAGGAGAGAGAGAGAGAGAGAGAGAGAGAGAGAACGATACCGCTGGCAAGATAATTGTGTATAATCAGGTCTGGCGCGGAAGTCTTGTTGTAGAGTGTCGCTTCGAAAGGACAGGCGGCATCCCCGCCAAGTCGGGGATCAGTTGCTAATCTATGCATAGGTAGGGATGGGATGCAAATCTTGCGAGCTAATAAATGACACCATGAATAGCGTAGTTACCATGAAGGATTCATTATCATAGAATGGCATCCAATAAAACTAAATGTGAAATTTCTGCGTTCAGTATGATGATCAAATCTGTTGCTAAAACGAAACACCATCGCCCCATCATGCCGGCCAGCGTGTCGGCGTCTGACCAGCGGTGCACAGCAGGGAGGGGGGAAGTTGCCCCCACTGCTATCTGTAAACAGGGTCGTAAGGGCATGTTTTGCACCCTCCAATTTTGGGAGGCCTCTTTTCCCAAACTTAAGTTGTAATAGCTGCACGTAGATTACCTAAATTCTGAGCAACGAAGCCTCATTATTGAGATAGAGGTACTAGACCGGGTTAAAAAACCTTTTCTGCATCAAGAGGCCCGTTTTCTGGATTATAAAATCTCAGCAGCCTTTTAACAGGTAGCAGCCTTTTGTTGGCTGCGAGCTCCAAGCTGTTCGGAAGTCCGCCGAATCGCACTGGGCTTGGGCCAGTGCTGTGACGGGTGCTGTAGATTCGACGCGCCTGGTCGTGATAGCGGGCCGGTGACCTGACTGAAATGGGCCGGTATGGTCAGTGTCCTGCTGTGACAGTTCAATGACCTCGAATCTTTCTCGGAGACTTGCTATCTGCACTCTGCATAGCTTGTCACCGAGGCACGAGTCCGGCAATCAAACGGTGGCCAAACATGACGGAAAAGACATCACTGCTCGGGACAACGGGTACCTTGAGCTTCACCGTGTGTGGCGTGCGCGACCGTGTCATATGTGATTACGACCATCTCTCAAATGTGCCGAAAATCGAAAGTGTCTCATACAGTGTAATTGTGTGTCTTTGCTCACGAGGAAAGAAGGGGAAAATCTCGCATTTGCGAACAATTTGCAAGAAAAACTAAAAAGGTGATTGCTTTACTGTGTACAAGCGCAAAACTGATCAACAAATGTCCTTCGGATTTCATTGGATTTCATGCTGCTTAGGCCTTGGATGGGGGACGTTTACTAATTAACCCTGCATTTTGATATACTGACTGCACTTCCAGTTCCTCCATCCTAACGCCATATATGCGGTACTCCGCTTGGTGCTGCACAAAACACATTGCTAAGCCCGATGTCTGCGACGACGAGTGCTGAGTGTAATGCTAAAAGTGTTACCTTTACTTTTACCGAGTGTCACCTTCCACGAACATCATGTATAAACATTAGACGAATGTTTCAACCACTCAGACTCACCTGACATCCAATGCACAGTACTGTCCTGAGAGCTGTCCTGACCTAAACATTCACGGATAAGCCGGAAGGTTTCGGTAGCCGGTATTGATATTGAGGATGGGAAAAACTCGCCAGCGGGGATCAGTGTTCCTAGAACGAATATGAGTAGACGCTAATTTCGAAACGTGCAGAATTTGAATAACTTTACCTAAACGAAGCCCTAAGACAACGTATGTGATTTCGTTTTGGACGAAGATTATGGGTGTGCAGCGACACTTATAGTTGGTAGATATATGTTTAGTACAAACATTTTGATTGGATGGTTTCTGAGATCAGAGCTCACGCTAAGAAGCGCTTGTTGTGTGAACCATTGCGCCATCATCTGATCTTGAAATTTGGGTTAAACGACAGAATTTTGTGGCGAAAGTTGAATGTGCCTTAATGTCCAGCACAGTCCGCCCCACCCTCTGACCTCATCGAGCCTCGAGGGGCTGCTTCCACTGTCAGGGCAAATAACAAGAGCCTGACGAGACTCGAACCCACCCCGCCACGACTCAGTGAATCGGAAGACAGGTGTTCTGAGCAGCTGCGCTATTAGATCGGACACTGGCACATGGAATCCCAGACGCCAGTTAAATACGCCGGGATCCCTCTGGTTAATTCAAACTACCTGGCTAGTCTATGGAGTAAGTCTGACTGAGAGACCGACTGAGAGACTGACGTCGTGCAAAGAGTGACGGACGTTTGTGCCACTATTGCTGAAAGTTGTAAGTGTATTGCCCTTGAGCGATGGCAAGTAGGCAGCCTGTGTATGTCGAATATGGTAGCGATGTATCCTGGCCACGTTCTTCCCTGCGGTATCTTGTTTACCCTAAGTGAAAGAAATGACTTTGCACGGCCATCGTGATGACATTTAATGTATCCCAGCCTGTCCCGGCTCAAAACGCTTGAGCACTTGATCTGCCAATTCCTCCGATCACAAATGTCCCGTCCCTTACTAAATTTAGGTACATTTCTGCCCCTTCCGTTGTATACATTTCAGGACAAGCGTAGCAAAAGCGTGTCGGTACGTTTGAACATGCACACCTCCGCCGTTCAAAGACAAACAGGTCTAGGAGCGATTATAACGCAGCACGTCTGCCTTTTTGCCTTTGGACGGCAGACTTGGCATCGCCTTATCGCGGATATCCAAGGCCTCCAACATGTTCTCAATCATTGGATCGGCGCTTTTATTATCCATAGATCATTCCGAGGATCCCGCTTTCCGGGCTCGGGGTCGTTGACCCTGGAATCCAAAATGCATGATTCCGCGTAGTAACAGAGAGCACCAAGCTCAGCCAACAAGCCTTCCCAACCAGAGTGACCGTTGCTCGACCGGCCAGGTCACAATCCTTCCAGATCACAACTCAGATGTGTCTGGGAGATTGCAACTCGATCTGTTTGGCCCGGGCATTGCTGAGGAGCTGCAACGGCAGGCCAGCAGCTGGTAGCGTTCCTACATGTCGCCTTCAAGCTGCGGTCGCTGAGGAGAACCGGTTCCGCGCGCGTGCCAGCGGTCTTTCGCGAACGCTCCCTGCTTGCGAGCAGAAGCGTTGCAAGATGCTGTTACAAGATGCCGGTCAAACTGTGCTGGCGTCAACCATGCAATGTTTTTGGTTGCCGCCCTTGTCCATACATCCCACATTCTTCGGTGCCACCCTGGAACAGTCTCCAGCTGCGGTCCTGCACGCGCCGTCTGCAGCCAAGCCGAGGATAATGCCCGATCTGCAACTAGCGATTACACGCCGAGCGGGCAAAAATTCTGGCCCAGAGACATCGGCTTTGTGGGCATGGCTGGAACTGGGATATAAACCCCGGTCGTCGGCTGCGGCACCCACTCAGAGACAGGGGACCAGTTGTGACCTGCCGGCTGCTGCACCCCTGCGCCATGAAACTGGTGAGTCTTCTCCATGAGAACACTCAGAATGCTCGGCAGGCTGTTAGATTTAAACGTTGCACAATTCATGTTCTGTGCTGGCAGATTTACATCGGTGGTATTGCAGGTATTACCTTGTATTTTAGAGGGAATGCTCCACATGTGATGGTACTGAAACGATCGTCAGTTTTGACCAGATAAGCTCATCTATAACTGTAAATGATCTTTTGAGTGGATAGGACTGCTCTTGACAACACAATTTCTCTTTTTCAGTAAATCATAATCGCGGTCAATCCTTGATGCGTCTTTGTTTGATTGCGTCATGGAACGTTTGCATGACAGCACTCACTCGAGGTTCTCCAATTGTCCGAGAGGTGGCCCGCGGCAGAGCTGGATATATGTGGAGCCGAATGTCGTCAGGTGCTTGTGCTTCGGTCCTTTCTCGTGGAGTTCTTGCAAATTTATCGGTGACTTTAAGGTGCTTAGTTGTATTCTCATACTCGGTCATGGCGCTACTCTTTGATGATTGGATTACAAGTCTTTTTCCGTAACAACTAGGAAGAATGTATAACGTCTTGTACTATGTGACGAAACAGGTTCCAACAGTGGTGCTCACCAGGCTTTCGTCAGTCGGTTCGGTGACCGAATACCCATCCGACACGACATCGGCAAGTGGTTTGCTCCTTTTGCGGCTCTCAGCCAAGGAGTCCTTTTTCGCATCGTCGATTTCGTCACTTTTCCGTTCGCACTAGCTCCAAACACACCTCTTCGCTTAGTTTTTGTTGTTCTCTTCTCGCTCCCCTAATATGGGGAAGCGAACCAAACGTAAGAAGGATGATACTGACACGGACTCGAACTCGGCCTCTGACCTCGAC